AGACTCACTAGTTTAACATGATTTACTTTTATTAAGTTTGTCATTTTGAAAAATAACAGATTGACGACAGTTAAGGTAGAAAAGTTGTATTAAAAAAATACCATGGTATATCTGAAAACCTTTTATAACAGACTTCAAATAAAGGAAAAAGACCTTATTGTTACTTCAGTTGTACTTTTTACATTTAAAGGTAGTTAAAGATTGAAACAAATGCCAATGAAACTGAAATGTGAAAAAGGCAACTTAAAATATAGGAGTTGACTAGGGTATATTAATAAGATGATTCAACTCTCAAAAGTGCATAGAATCCAACTTCAATTGAATTTGAACTCAATTGTTGCTTATCCAGTTCCTGCTAAACAATCAAGAAGGAATGGCGAGCTGGCTCGGCTATGGCTGTGGTTGGAAGCACCGTGGGCTGGCTCTGTCCCTTCGCAGTGCTGTGAGCACGGGGGAACTCAGTTTCAGTTTCTCTGTAAAATGAAGGTAACACCAGTTCCCAGCTCAGGATTACTGATTACTGAGTGAGATGATATATCTAAATATCTTAGCTAGTCCACGATCTAGAAACTAAGGGCTTAAATGTTAGTTATTATTACCATTATATTTAATTTCTCAAACTTGTTAACCACCTTTGTTTTCCTAAGGCATTTTTTTCACCAAAGCTACTCAAGTGATCATGTAACAAAAATAATTAAGACTCAGAGAATATTCACACAGAGCTCTGAATTCTACCTGAAAGCTTTTAAACAACGCAGCTTATTACAGAGAACAAAGCCATACTTTGAAATCAGCCTGTTCTGTCAAAAAGACAGAAAGCTCGGAGGATGTAACTGAATGACTGTAATGCTCCCTGGCCAAGAAGCGAGGCTTTAACTTGCTCTTCAAAGTACATGCAAGTGAGCCTTGTTCTCGCCATTTTAACACAGACTTTCCACCCCTAAATTGACTTTCTGAAACAGTTAGATAATTGTATACTTTTAAGCCACTTTGTCAGTGTTCTTGAACTGTGAAAGTAATTTATGTTGAACTCATAAAATATACTGTCCAAGGTCCAAGTTTAAGTGAGGATGGTGATTTGTTTCCTAACAATAGAGGACAACTGAATTTAAAAACTCCTTTGTACTGGACAGTCCTTGAAGTGAGAGTCTTTCCTATCCACAGCCCTTCCAAGCAAAGCAGCCAAGGCGTTTTGTATGGATACAATCCACTGTCATCACCCCACAACTGTCAAGATCAGAACTCTCTATTCATTCCCACCACACTATTCCAGTGATTCCCTCTACTGCTCTTACAGCCAACACCATAACCACCACTAACCTCTTACCACCGCCACTAATGATGAATATGAAAACACTGATCCCTTCACTTGTGTCGCTCCATTTAATCCTCAAAACAACTTGAGATACGTCGCATCTATTTTACTGATGAGGAAATCAAGGCATAGAGAACTTAATTTTTGGCTCATGTTCATATATCTGATGAATGGGAAAGCCAGAATTTAGATCCATTTTAATAACCAGAAGGCATGTGTTCTCTCCATGGCTGAGTGTATCATTTGGCACAGAGTTAGTGCTAAAAAAAAAAATTGTTGAATAACTGGATAAGTAAAAGTTGTCATGCTTTGGGTCATATGGCAGTGGCAGAAGCTCACTGAACACCTGTCAGGAGATGCTGCCCAGTGGGACACTCTATACTTGATTTATCTAAGTTGCCTTGTAAATTCTTCTGTGGGACAATGAAACATAGAGAAGAAACACTAACGACGACAACCAGAGAGAAGGCAATGGGCTAGAACCCCTGAGTCAAGAAAACCAGTATGAATGTAAGCCCAATGGCAAAAGCCCTGCACCTGCTGGCAGACCGAGGTGCAGCATGAGGATGGCACAGCGTCCCGGGCAACGGCGGCATCCTGATTCTCCCTGTGGTCGACGCTGACATGCTCTTTCAAACCTTTTCTGGCTCCTCTTTCTCTAGCCAAGCAGTGATCCTTTTCTCAGGAGACTGTAGTCTCATCCAACAGCTCAGGTCAATAACTCCAGAGTCAGACGTCTGTTCCCCACACAATCATTTACCATGTTCTAGATGGTCTATCCTCCCTGCTTCATTCTGGTCCAAGCCAACACCTTCTTCTGTCGGACTCACTGCAGTTCTCTCATCACTGGTGTGCACCCACTCTAGTCCTGCCCTTCCTAACCCATTCTCCACACAGCTGGCTCCCATACACACCTTCTGCACCTCGCTTGGATTTATTCAGCTCTTACTGAACACCTCCCTTCTTTGGGGAAGCTCACCTTCAGAGTAAGACTGGTCCTCCTGTGACTGGGTCTTTTGTCATTCTCTCCTTTCTTACACTTATCACAATAAATAATTACTTGGTCATAAGTCTTTGTTTTTAGACCAGAGGCTCCCTGAAGACAATACTGTGTCAAGTACATTGCCTCACCCATAAGTGTACAATAAATATTTGCTTAATACTGCTGACTATTTCTTCACATAATACATCATCTGCAGTAACTTGAAGATGTTTTTTTAAACTAAAAGAAAATCTCAATACATAATCTGAAATGCATTTACAAATATTTCACAATTAACAGAACTAAAATCTAGCCCTGGCTGGTGTGGCGCAGTTGGTAGGAGCATCGTCCCATACACCAGAGTTCTGGGGGTGGGTAAGATCTCAGGTCAGGGCTCATACCCAGGTCACAGGTTCAATGCCCCATCGGGGCACACATGGGAAGCAATTGATCAATGTTTTTCTCTCTCTCTCCAAAATAATTTTAAACAGAGAACTAGCATCCAGCCCACCTCCATTGAGGACTGACATTTGCATATACTACGCAGAGGAACCTGGGATGGAGCGGAGGTGGGGAGCATACTCCACCTGGCATGCAGAGAAGCCACTAGTAATCTTTAAGCAGTGGAATGATCTGATCAGATCTGTGCTGGGTGGGAAGAACTTGGTGGCAGTGGCTGCATTAAGCCTTGAAGAGGGAAGAGCAACTGGGGAGCTGTGTGAACACCAAAGGTGAGGCTTTGTGGATAGTAGAGCCAGCCATCCACACAACCATCTGTTCTGGCCATTAAGTCTTTAAAAAGTCTGTTCAAGAACTTCTGACACAGATTCCAGAGAAGAGAGCCTGCCCCAGACCCAGAAGTCTTTGCTCATGGCTGTGTGTCGATGCGATGCCAGTTACCTCAGAGGCATATGAGTCTGTGAGCCCAACAACAGCCAAAAGGAGCAAAGGGGAACGTTAAAGAGTCCAAATCTTTGATGATACTGTTGCACCCTGAAATTAAGTTTTACTTAGAAGACAAATTTTAAGATATGAAACATATTTTAGTTGATTATTTTCACAGAGAAGGGAGAGGGAGAGGGAAGGACAGGGAGGGAGAGAGAGATCAATGCAAGAAACATGGATCAGTTTCATCCCACAGCGCCCTGACCAGGGATCAAATCCACAACCTTTCGGTGTTTGGGATGATGCTCAACCAACTGAGCCCACTGGCCAGAGCTGAAACATTTTTTAACAGATTTACTTTTTCTGTCCCTCTTTCTCTAATAAGATACTACATCCCCACTCGCTAAAGTTAGGATGTTCCAACTTCAAGTGAAAGATTACTTATTAAAGTGCCTACAATAAAAGGTGTATTTATTATGTCACTTATCAAGAAGTCAGCTTTTTTCACTTTCTATGGTGGCTGGCTGGGGCCCTCAGGGAGTTGGTGGGAATATGGAGAACACACACTTCCGTTTTCTCGCATGTAATATACAGCTCAATTTCATAAGAAAATTGTTTTGGTGAACAAAAATAAGTATGTTATGCATCCAAAATAAAAAAAACAACCACCTGCAATCAACTCCCCCTCCCTGCAATACAGTAAGAAAGCAGGGAGACAAATGAGGGCCAATAATGAAGTAAGTTTTATCTTTTAACCAAAATGTCTTATAAACTTATCTAAATTATAGATGCTTATTATGTGCTAGCAAGTAGGATAGACCCTCTTTATCCAGCTACATGCAGCCTATGGTTAGCTTCCTATCCTTCATTCATCCAACATTTACCATTTATTATATGACCATCTATTATCCAGATGTTAATGAGACATCATTTTCTCTGCCCTCAAAGAATTATTCAGTATTCACCTCAAGAAGTCACACATTATTTGCTTAGCAAAGTTCCCAAAACATGGTAGGTGATTAAATATTTGTCTAAAGCATTTGTTCTATAGCATTACATTTTTGAGGGTTCTAAAAAAACCCAATGAAGACAAAACTTCTGCACAAGGCATCTGCTTAGAGGAGGAAACAGACCACTAGCAGTTAAGAATTTTGAGCTTCGAAGGTTCTTACTAGATAGACATGAAACCCAGTCATTCATGTAAACCTCAAGACAATTATTAAAATAAGCAATCCTGTATGTCAGTAATCATAGTGAACTTTTAATCTCTAATTATCTCTACGGAGCACTAAACACATAACATGGATTTTTAGCAATGAAAAGAAAAATCAATAGTTCCTGAACTGGTATGTAGCAGGCACTAAGCCAAGTCTTTTTATACATACATTCATTTTCAGACTCATAACACCTTTTCACGGTTGGAATTATTATTCTAGTTTTACAGTGAGGAAACAGACTTAAAGGCCAAGGTCATGCTCTTGGTCACCTTCTCGACACCATCGTGCCTGTGGGGAGGGAAAAACTCATGCTAACTTTCCTCCCTTTAAAAAGAATATCACAGAACATAAACCACCCTAATAAGATTCTAAACCTTTATAGAAGGTACTATGGGACGTCCTTATAATTACACAGCTAAATTCCTCTTGTCCTGAAATCTATTTGAATAGCTCAAGAAGAAAATCTAATCTGTTTAGCAACTGACAATCCTTTCAAATTTTCAGAAATAGTAATAGTGTTTTATTCAAGGAAAAGCATTACAAATTGCAAACACCAAAGTGTTACTACTGGCCTAAATAAGACAGATTACCTTATCCTAGTTATAGCTAACTGTCCAGTGCTGAACAAATGAGCTTTATGTGATGCGCCTGTTAGACGGCAGCAGGCAGAAAGGAGATCACCGTAAGTTCCCAGAGTCACACGGTAATGTCTAGTAGCTGTCTACATCTCTTCCTGCTGCTGGGAACAGCTCTTTTTACAGCCATGGCTTTTGGCTCATGCTGGGTTTCTTTCTCTTCCCTGGAATACAGAAATGACCAAAGATGCTTTAGCAGTCAAACTGGACCCACAGGCAACCTTGAGATTAGAAGCTAAAAGATAAAGGTGGAGTATAAGACAGAGGGAGACAAGATGTGCTGCTCATTCTTTCCAACCTGGGCCCAGCAGAATGGCTTTCAAAGAAGGGTGGGGAGAGAATGGATGCCATTAACGAGGTGGGACTAGAAAACAAACCATTAGCACTCAGTTGATGGCAAGGCTTTGGGAAGTGAGCTTCATGCTCCTTGGGCACTTGGAGATCGAAGGAGATGGAAACTCCAGATGTGCACACTGACACAGGGCTCCACAGCTGTCTGGACCAAAGGAAGAGGGATGTCCTATCTTACACCATGTGTGGTTGCCCAGAAAACACAATGGGATGAAGATTCACCAAACGAGCTTTAAATGTTGGTGATCTATGTACCTGTTCAATACAGATGAGACTAACCACTGATTGTCAAATAACGTTATAAAACTGCAAACAAAAACGACAGGAGTCCAACTCCCTGATTGTGGAACGTTCATGCAAGAATCACACTGATGCGCTTAAACTGCAGTGAAGTATTTAAGTCAATAAAATTTTAGTTTTTATGTACCTGAATCTAATCCTAACCAACATGCCTTTTTTTTTTTTTTTTTTTTTTGCTGGGGAGGGCAAACTGGCTGGTTGGAGGACTGGGGGAAGAGAGAGATGTTTCATCATATTTTCTTTTGAAAATCTCCATTTGAGCGATGTGACTGCTTCTTGGCCTTTTGGCTAAGATCAAGTGTAGTATCAATTTGAGCCATGTGAATGTATGATTTACTCAAAATTAAATTATATTAATCAATTTAAAGAGACCAAAAAAATTAGTAAAATACCACATCAGAAAAACTAGAAGTTGTTATTGTTTATGAAAACATTTAAGCTTATCGTACTGAAAAAGTTCACAAATGCCCTGGCCAGTTTGGCTCAGCAGTTAGAGCATCGGCCTGCAGACAGAAAAGTCGTGGGTTCAATTCTGGTCAAGGCACACATACCTGGGTTTCGGTTAGGTCCCTGGCCTCGGTTGGGGTTGTGCAGGAGGCAGCTAATCGATGTGTCTCTCTTGTATCAATGTTTCTCTCTCTCTTTCTTTTTCCCTCCTACTCTATCTGAAGATAGATGGAAAAGTGTCTTTGGATGAGGATAAAAATAAATTAAAAAGTTCACAGCCCTGGCCGGTTTGGCTCAGCGGTTGGAGCGTCGGCCTGCGGTCCTGAGAGACCCGGGTTCGGTTCCCGCTAAGGGCGCGTGCCTCGGTTGCAGTTTGTCCCCGGCCCTGGTCGGTCGTGCGGGTGGCAACCACTCGATGTGTTCCTTTCACGTCGATGTTTCTCTCTCTCTCTCTCCCTCCCACTCTACCTGAACAAAAAGTGGAAAAATGTCCTCGGGTGAGGATAAAAAAAAAAAAAAAAAAAAAAGTTCACTAATACCTGTCAAGATAATTTACTAAATATGGGCAGTATGATATAAACCTGCAAAGAGCCCGGCTGGTGTGGCTCAGTGGTTGAGCGTCAACCCATGCACCAAGAGGTTACCAGTTGGATGCCCAGGTTGTGGGCCCAATCCCCAGTGGGGGGCATGCAGAAGGCAGCCAATTGATGTTCTCTCTCATCTATGTCTCTCTCTCTCTCTCCACCCCCCCTCCCTTCCTCACTCTCTCAAATCAATAAAGAGAAAAATTAAAAAAAAAAAAAATCTGCAAAGCTTTGAAGTTCATCAGGACAGGAACCACTGTGTTCTCTTTTGTAACACAAGCAACTGGTCTGGGATTCTGCATGTGGCTGGTGCTCGAAATGCTGGTTGAACAAATGAAATGTCATAAACTATGTCACTGCTGAAGTGTTCACCTCTGTACATGACTGACAATCATCTACAAAACAGTGAGTATGAGGAAGACTTTGGGCAAACACAGAGGAAAAAGATTGGCAGTTATCTAAGCTAGTAAGCAGACATTGTGGCCCATGATTTACCTGCCCAATAACTCACTTTCCCCTGCAAGCACTCACCAACTGACTAGCATATGTAACAACCTCACATGAAAGTTTAAAAGGTATTTATGTGGGGTTTAAAACTGCTATTAAAATATAGTTGGAACTTTGCCCTAATTCTCATCCTTTTTCTTTTTCTAATATTTTTATTTTTTAGTTAATGCTTACCCAAGGATATTAGTTCCATTGATTTTTAGAGAGAGTGGAAGGGAGGGAGGGAGGAGCAAGCGAGAGAGAGAGAGAGAAACATCAACATGAGACAGACACATCGATTGGTTGCCTCCTGCACACGTCCCAACTTGGGCCAAGGATCAAACCTGCAACCTAGGTACGTGCCCTGGACAGTGAACCAAACCTGTAACCCTTCACTATGTGGGCTGATGCTCTAACCACTGAACAATGGAAACAAGGGCTATTTTCTAATATTTTTAATCTAGTAAAGCAATGTCCCCACCCCCCAAAACTACAATTCACTAAATGTGTACTCGACTAAATATTCATACTAAAAAATTTTACACATTTATTTTTGTTGTTCTAGTAAAAAAAATCACTCATCTTCCCCAAAGAAATTGTTAACAATTATAACTAGCTTACGTGAAGATCTGATTAGCTCAAATGGAATTTGCAAGTATGTAAGGCCTTTTTACTGAGCACATGCGTGAAACTTTTAAAAGATTGATAGGAATGTGTAACTTCCTTTGCCAGTTTCATTTTTCATGTCTTGGCAACAAATGTTATTTTGATAAATAGAGATGATTTTTATTGCATTTATTACACTGTGACTTCTATGCAACTATGGCTCCTCAAGTAATATAAAAGGATGAACCACAGTTCAGTACTCAAGTTGTTAACTCATGTTTCTTTTAAAGCTATTTGTCAACATTTCCACGTCTGTGTAAGAATTAGATGAATTGAGGATATGGGTTTCTCTATGACCTACAAAATGAAAGTCTCGAGAAAAACAAATGGGTGTAATAGCCCTATAAATGTTTCTGTTCTATCACTAATTCTACCCTGTTTGCCTCTCACCATCGCCTTACGAACCTTTTCACTTTGCATCCATCTGACAGAATTACGGCAATGACAGTGGGAAAGATGGCTGTGTGTACACAGACCCAAACGGGAGGATTTGAGCATGCCCCACTTGGCATCAGTCAGGCCATAACAGCAGGTGAAAGAGGGAAGGAATTCCAGTCCCATCAGGTTACTCGCAAAGCAGAACCATTCAAGGTGGATCTGAAACTAGTCTCTGAGCCCCATAAAGTAATGGCCACACGGCACTGGCTGCAGGTGTCCTTCCAGGAGCTGGTCACCTGGCAGCAACACCAAGCTTCTTTGGCAAAAGATACATTTGATAATAACTTGTCAAAACGATGTCCATAAAACATCGAATGTATTATACCTGTCAAAAACTCTGGGCAAAGCCCTCAGGAATTCAAGACCAGGAAAAAATCTTGCCATTGTCTAAGAATTGTATATGACCTTATAGATGGAAATAATAACAATCTAACATAAAGGAGGTCCTCAGACATTTTTTCCAAAAGGCATCTGAGATCTTTATGACGCGGTCTTTATTGATTTTCCCCTTCAAATGGGACAGACAGATTAACAAGATGTGACTGTTACTTGTACACTAGGTTGTGTGTCCTGGTTAAGGTGGACTGACAGTCAGCGCCCACTTTAACCACCGACCGGAGTATTGTACTGGCTGGAAAACTAAAAACCATGTCAAAATCCTCTTGTAGTTTAGATGTTATTTGGTCTGGCCAGTCACCAAACTGATCAAGGTTAGGGAGTTGGCCCTGTTTTTTTTTTGTTTTATTTTGCTCACAAGAGTGACTTTGGAAGCACTTGCCTTTCTCTGATGCTGTCAGCAGAGTTCCCAGTAGCTGGTTACTAGCTTTGTGGGTACTGGAAGGCAGAAAGATGGGTGTCTGCCATGCTGGTATGGACCATAACAGGCACTGCAGTTCTGCAGCCGCCAGTGCCGGAAGCTTCCTGACGGGGCACGTGGGCAGGGGTGGCGCCGCGCCTGCGCAGTTCTGCAGCTGGCAGTGCCGGCCGCTTCCTGACGGGGCACGTGAGCAGGGGGGGCGCCGCGCCTGCGCAGTTCTGCAGCTGGCAGTGCCGGCAGCTTCCGGACGGGGCACGTGGGCAGGGGTGGCAGCTGAAGCAGGAGCTTCCCAGTTGAGCAGGCAGTTGCTGTGTCACAGAGGGGAGAACAACTGCCTTGGTGGCTTGCATAACAGTTTCTGATGTTGTTCATCGAGCTCAGTCTAGATCATTTCTTCAGTCCTCCCACAGTACTGTAATCCATCTGACACGTCATTATAAATACTTCTCTGCTTAAACTTGATTCCAGTTTTTGCAGCTAAACCCTGATCTATACATATGCCAGCGCATACACACCCTTCCCAGTAAACGGATCTCCGATCTAACAGAGGAGAACACCGGGTTCACAGCACTGCAAGGCAGTCAGGGATGAATGGTCGCCAAGGTCTGCTTTCCCTCACTCTAAGTGAAGATTTCGTCTTGGTGACACAGAGACATGTTCAAGGACAAGGAGAGGACAAGGTTTAAAATATTCCTTTGATTCGAAGTGTCCAGATTGTTGGTATAAGCACGTCCAGAATAATACCGAAGAGTTAAAACTCCAAGTATATAAAAAGGAACAGTAAGTACAGTAAGAACTGCACTTCTCAAAGTCCCAGAGAACCTACTTTTGGGGAAGGGGTCCTGGCAGCTGCAGCCCCATCAGCCCCTGCAGGCAATGGAGTTCTGAGACAGGCTCCATCTCTCCTGCTGTGCAGCCATTTCACGTACCACTGGATGCGATGTCTCTGCTATTTCAATTGGAAACTTAATTTAACTATACTGTGTGTGGGGGGATGTGTGTGTGCAGGAGGTGTCTTTTCCCACCAACCCAAAGCTCACTTGAAATATTCAAGTGTCTTATAAAAGTTTCTTTTTCGGCAGGGAGGGGTATTATACACTGTCTGAAAATTCTTTTGTTAAGTCTCTCTTTGCCTGAAAATCATGGTCTATCCCTATCGGCATCTCAACAAAAGTTAGAAAGAAAAAAAAAAAGACTATGATTGGCTGTCACTTTTTGCAATAAAAGGACAGTCCCCCATTACAGTTGGTGAGGCTTAACTTTAGACTGTGGGTAAGGTTGCCAGATTCAGCAAAACAAAATGAAAAATGAAGATATTTAGTTTAATTTGAATGAAGATAAATAATGACTAATTTTTCAGTATAAGAATGTCCCATGCAATGTTTGGGACATATTAATATTTAAAAAGTATTTGTGGGACTTACTGATATTAAAAAGTATTGATTGCTTATTGTAAATCAGATTTAACTGACAACCCTATATTTTACCTGACGGTGTGGTTGTGGACAAACCCTGGCACCAGCACAGAAGAGGGACCTTACTCCGCAGCCCCTCTGTCTGAGGATCGGAGACACCCACCTTCAGACAGAAGGAAAGAGCTAAGTGTGCGTCATTCACGACATTTTAAATAATGGGGAGTAAATAATAAATGAGGCTCTTCATTGGCCTCAGACTTTTCATATTTCCTGGATTTTGTTTCCTTGAATCCAGATCCAAGTATGTTCTTGTTTGAAGACACACTCCAAGTGTTGGCACCCTATAACCAGCTCTGTGTCCTTCTGTGCCCCTGGCCGTCAGGAAGCTCAAAAATAAATCATAGTACTGACTTTTCAGCTTCTTTTTCATCCATTAAAGACAAAAGCCACTTCAAATCTTTTAAAAAGGAGATGGCCATAAAACACTGGAATCAAATGAGCTGGCTTTCCTGTGTGGTAGTCATGAGTCGTTAGTGAAAGAAACAGTTCTATAATGTACACACAATAGAAGTCACATTCTTAATTTTTCCACCCGTGGGAGAAAAACACATAATTACTGTGCTCACCTTAACAAGTTTAGAACGTCACTATACAAGTTTTCAAACAGTGTGATGTCCTGCACTATGGCTGCGGTGACCAGTGCTGCCCCGGAGCAGAAAAGCCATCCAGAGATTCAGCGTCTACTTCCCAGGCCTGGCTCCGTAACACAGAGCAGTACTGAGCAATTTAGCGTTTCCATCTGTTAAAAGTGTTCTACTGCTAAAGGATGAGAAGTGAAAATGTGGCCAAGTTTTGAAATGTAATATATATCTGGAAAATAAAATAATTTGCAGCACAGTTAAGTTTTGCTCAAGTCTGGAAAGATAATATGAAAAATTCTCAGACTAGCAATTTGCTGACTAGAAAATCACTATTTTTTCCATCAGCCTAATATGGCAGTTGTTTTTCATAGGCAAAGAAAAGCTAAGGAAGACTTACAGTCTGCAGATAGTTGGCATAGCGTGGCAAAATTTAGCTGCTAGTTTCTTCTTATCCTTGTTACGCATTTTCCATATGGGACTTATTATTATCAATGAGAAGAAATAATAGAGGAACGCAGAAGCTGGAGGAAAGGTCCAGAATGGCATGCATTAACTGCTTGTCAACTGTGGTTTTCCTAATGAATTGCCCTGTTGCTCTGTATCTCACTGATTACAGTACAACAGCTTTCATTAGTCACTGCAAATAAGACTTAGTGCCACCTTATTTATATTCTATTGCAAATAATTAGCATTTCACATTAGAATCATCCAAGGCACTTCTGAACTTACAGCAAGATTATTTGACATCATCCAATACTTGATTCCATCCCAAACAAGCTTGAAAACAGATTCTGTGCTTTTTAGTTACAACAGTGTCACCAATGAGTTCTACCACAGCTTAAATCCCTGCCAATATTATAGCTGGGGATATCAAAACGCTGCAGTAATTAGACCTTGCAAGTCTGACTTCCCTAGTGGTACAACTGTCACAGAAGGGGAGGAATTGATATTCAAAGTTTATAATAACTCAAACCTCAACAATTATTGCTAGAATCTGAATGCGACCATTTTAAATGGCAGAAAGTAACTGAAGAAAAAAAACTTATTACAAAAGTGAAAGACAGAAAACATTACATGCTCTGATGACCAATGTTTTTCTCTGCTAAAAGTTCATGATTACTAATGAAATCTAAACCTAATCATTAACTTGGTGAGGAAGTCTTTTTTCTTTTAAACATAGCTGCCATGTTTAAAATTGTAAAACCTAGTCTATTACATAAATTAGGACTTCACTTTACAAGTGTATTATTCTATAATTAAATATATAGATTTACATATATTATTATTTGATATAACTAAATTTATGGAAAGCATTTTGGACAAAACCAGTTATTTCCATTTCTATGTGAACAGTGTGTGGATACAGACCTACATATGTACACACATATGTGCTGATGTTTTCTCCAGCATGCTCATACAAAACAGGAATCAGTAATTCTGATTTGTGTGAATAGAACTGATAGAACTAGATGACTTAACCCCAACACCTCAGGACAGGGCAATCCTCAGCCCAGCCAGTGGCTGGGTCCACAACATGTTCTCGGTTCTCTGCCTATGCCATGCTGGACTCTGTGTTCTGTGAGTAGCTCCTGACACCTGCTTCTGCAGCTCACAAGATAATTGAGCCTCTTGGTCCAGTAAATCAACTCAGAACTCCCCAGCCATTCACATACTTCTTCCACTTGGTCGTAGTCACAGATCCAGCCTGAATGTCTCCAGGTGGCTGATCTAGTGGCCCCTCACTTATAAGAGGAGTGATCTGTTGGACTCTTCCTACGTCATTACTTCAGTTTTTAACTGTCTTCACTAGCCAGGGTAAAAACAGGCAAGTGGGTGTTAAAATGCAATACAATAATAATGGAAAAATTAGCCTTAGGTGCCAAGAAGTAAATACAAACACATTAAAAATGAGAGTGTGTGGGACTGTTGGCTAAGAGCTCCCAGTGAACCTAGTAGAGATTAGAGGTGAGAAATCAATGATGATAATCAAATGTACTCAGTTGATAAGAGCTTTTCATACAAATTATCTTTTCTATAAAAAGATTAAAGACCTTCAAAGATATAGTCCCTCTCTCTCTCTCTCTCTCTCTCGCTCTCTCATACATTGTTTCATTCTTTATCATGTCTCACAATGGAGACAGTGAATTAGTTCTATCTGAAGAAACCTCTCCAAAAAAAAAGTAAACCTCTGTGGCTTTCTTGCAAGGTCACTGTGACCTACATGCAGCAATCAAGAGGTTTTTATTCTCCCCTGGCAACAGCTGGTGGACAAATTCAGAATACAGTTCCTCAGGGTTATAGGCTTTTATTTAGGAAGCTGGGAAGATAATTAGGACGCATAGAAAATAGTAAAAAATTACTTGATACCCAGGGAAGAGGACTGTTAGAACTTGTCTGGGCTGACACACATTCTGCCTCCTTCCCAAACGTCTGCCTAAAACGAACCGGGGAATTTAGAAGTCTTTTCCACAGGAGTCCTCAAGTAAAGAACGTGGACAAATGCATGAGTTTGAATCCTGTCTCAGCCATTTACTACCACTTTAACCTTGAGCAAGTTATTTAACTTTTCTGTGCCTGAAGTTCCTCAAATAGATATATGCAAAACACTGCCTAACTATAGTAGGAGTTACATAAACGTTGACTGCTGTTTCTATTGTTAGGAAGATATGATGTAGAGAAAATAAACCATTGTGAACTTGTGAACTTAAAAAGGGCATTTCTTGTCTAGTTTGTTATTAAAGAGGCCTGGTCTTAAGCAGCCAGGCCACCACCACGCATACAAGTTGACATGCAGCCCTCATGTCCACATTTGGTCTCTAATACGTCTCCATTACAGAGAACGAGTGTCTGTGAAGTTCTGCGGCAGGAAAAACCAGTCAACACAGGCCTGAGACATCTTGTTGCCAAATCGTAAGGACACACTAAAACATGCCTGGGTGGTTTCAAAAGGATACCGGAACTTGAAGAGGGCTCTTATTTGACAAGACTGACAATTCGGACATCAAAAATAACTAACTAACTAAATAAATAGAAGAGAAATTAGTCCTTGTGAGTCAAAATATATTCTAGTTTCTAGTTTATTGCTTCATATTTTAATATCTGGTAAGGTTAGAAACATACTGGTTATTCTTATTTTAATACTTTCCCTAGTTTTTGCTTCTATTTCTATTTAAATTTTAGAATTAGCTTATCTATTTCTAAGAAAAATTCTGTAGGCAATTTTATTATGACTTAATATTGACATATCTTTTTAACTAACACATAAGGAATTCCTAGACATAATTAAGAAAAAGACCAAATAATACACTAAAAACAAATAAAGAGTATGACATATACAAAAAAGAACCCAAATAGAACATCTAAGCACTGGAATATGATTTGAAGTGATTTCTCCTCATACTAGTTGTGGGTACATTGGTAAATTACTTAATGTCTTTTAATCTTACTCTGGCATCTATAAAACAGAACTAGCACCACCTGCTTCACAGGATGTTGTGATGATCAAATGAGAGACACACAGGAAACACTTAGCGCAGCTCCTGGCACCTAGTCAGTGCTCACTAAAGATGTGACAGTGTTACTGCTTTCAGCATAACCTCCAAACTCCTCACCTTCCCTACAAAGACCTGGCACTGTCTCCCCCACCAGCCCACCTGTCTAACTTTCCCATTCATTCTCCTTTGCCCTTGATTCATCACCTTCTCATCAATATCAGGCTTCTGTTAATTCTTCTGGCAAGCTCAGATCTTTTCTGACCCCATGCATTCACTATTGCTTATTCCTAGCTCCTTAGTTAGGACCTTCCAGGGCTGCCCTTCAATTTCTAGCTCAAATTTTACTTTCTAAGAAAGGCTTCTGCCGATGATCCCATCTTCTCATTTATTTCCTTCACAGCATTTACAATAAGCTGTTATTTCATCTATTTATTTACTTGGTTTTGCAAGAGAAGGTGGGCCTTATAAGAACCACAACGGCAGGTACAGCTAGAGCCCCAGCATCAAAAACCCGCTCCCAGGAGCTGCACAAGACACAGCTCCTGAGTGGATGTCTCAGAATTAAACTACAAGACACTGATGAAGAAAATGTAGATTTTATGTACAATAGCAAATCATATTTGCAGCTTAAATGTTTAACTCTGATTAATGTCTCATAAAGTTCAAAAGAAAATCCAATCGTATAATTATATTAAGAAAGACTATTCGGAACACTGAGATAAGCAACAGTACAACAAGAACAAAAAATGCCATTCTGATAAATATTAAGCAATCTAATTAGACAACCACCATACCTACTTCTGTACAACATTTCTGACCTGCAAATTGTGCCTTCCACAGGAGAGGCAGCTCTGTAATTACCCCAATCACCACAGTTAGAAAGCTTAGAAAGAGAATGAGCCAGTAAATCAATATAAAAGACATAATTGCCATATTCAAAGATCATATGAGGCTGCTTGTTATGCACAGGCTAATATAGTTATTTAAAAAAGGGAAAACAGCAAGAAAAACCAAAAAGTCAGGTTGTTTCGATTTTCATAGCTGAAATGAATATGTTTGTACGTACATTTAGAAAGATTTCTAGCTTATTTTCTGCTAGTTTCACTTGAATTTAAAGGTTTTTAACATCTAGATGGTCTCCACTGATCATCTGGCAGCGTCCTGGTGTCTGTGTCCTGGAAATCTGTTACTATGAGAACTGATTCACGGTGCTACACTATGTGAATCTTCGTGGGATATTAGATTTAGAACAATGAGAGTATAATGTGCTTTCTATAGCCAAAGTGAATTAACAAACTCCAACTCTGACCCTCAGTGTTCTGTAAAATTTGATTTGTCATGATTTATTTACTAAACAAAATGCTATTATAAAACATCTTCCCAAAAGGCCCTTTTCTGGAAAAAAATACATACATACATATATATATATATACACATATATATATATATACACACACACACACATACATATATATATATGGAGTCCCTTCAGAATATAGTTCTAATAATATTTTATGCCTGACTGGTGTGGCTCAGTGAACTGAGTGTTGTCCCATGGACAGAGAGGCCCCAGTTCAATTCCTGATCAGGGCACATGCCCATTTGTGGGCTCAATCCCCAGTAGGGGGCGTGCATGAGGCAGCTGATCCCTGTTTCTCACATTGATTGATGTTTCTATCTCTCTCTAAAAAAAAGTTTATTTATAGAGTTTTTTAATTTATCCATATTCTCATTAGTGTAATCTAAGTATTTATGTGCAGTTCTATTTGTTATAAGTTGGTCTTAAGGAGGTTGCTATTAATGATATTTATTATAATAATTTAATATATTTAATTGTGTTTGTCCTATTTACATTTCAGTCTATAAATTCCTTGAAGGCTTAGAGCTTAATTTCTGTTACTTCTTAATAGGAGACTGTGGTGCATGCATTATTATTATTGTTGTTGTTATTATTGTTATTTTTTTGGACAAAGGGTACCTCTCAGTTTTAGTTTCTTAATCTATAAAATAAAAAAAAATTAGACTAG